ATATAAGTCAGGCATGGTGGTGTATACCTGTAATCCCAGCACTGGGGAGGTGGAAGTAGGAGGATCTCTAGTTTAAGGCCTGTCTGAGACCCTATCTCAAAAAAAAAAAGTGACATAGAAAGGTTGAAATTAAAATTAAAAGGATAGCCCTGGGGTGTGGCTCAAGAGATAGAGCACTTGCCTAGCAAGCTCAAGTCCCTGAGTTCAAACCCCAGTACTGCCAAAAAAAAGAAAGTTAAAAGAATAGAAAAAGATACTATGAAAACACTAACTCAAATAAAGTTGATATTGCTATATCTAGTTTAAGGTAGGCATTAAGAAAAAGCAATATTGCTAGAGATAAAAGGGACATTTCTTGATAATAAAGAGACGATCTCTAAGAAAGATAAAAACTATTATAAATTTTTATGTACATATTAACATAACTTCATAGCAAATAAAGTAAAAATTGACAGAACCCAAAGGAAAAATGAACAATTCCAAAATTATTGTGAGACAGTCTAGCCCTCCTCTCTCAATAACTTACAGATCAAACAGACAAAAATATTAGTGTGGGTACAGAAAAATTGAAAAAATTATTAATTAATTTGACCTAACATAGCAACTACAGATTAGGCATTCTTTGTAGGTACACACGAGAAATTCAGACTATGATAGATCCAAAATAATGTCTGCTTCCCCCAATGATATCTAGTAGAACCCTTAAATATGCTAAGTCATATGGCAGAGGGCAAAAGTGTCGCAGATGGATTTAAGCCTGCTATTCAGAGAAGGCAAGTCTGCTGCATTATCCAGATAGACCCAAGGCAATCGTAGGTGCTTAATTGTGGAAGGGAGAGGAAGCCACCCCTGGCTTTGGAGATGGAAAGGGATAGGAGGAATGTTCTGGAAGATGGGAAGGAAAGGAACCCAGTCTCCCCTGCAGCCCCAGGAAGGAATGCAGGCTTGGTGACACTTTGATTTAGTCCAGTGAGACCTGTTTCAGACTTCTGACCACCAGAATTATCAACGTTTTGAGTCACTAAGTTTGTTGTAATTTCCTATGGCAGCAAAAGGAAACTAATTCACTAACTGATCATATACTTGAATAAAAAGCAAGTCTCAACAACTGTTAGAAAATGAAAGCATACTGAGTAGAAATTAATTTAAAAAAAAGAAGAAGAAGAAACTAGATCACACCCAAATGCTCACGAACTAAGCAATCAACTCCAAAAGAAACTCATGGATCAATTAAGAACTCTTTCATGTGTTTTCTGTTTTTGTTTTGACAGGGTCTTGCTTTTAGCCTAGGCTGACCTAGAACTTAACATATAGGCCAGGTTGGCCTCAAACTCAGGACCCTCTGGCCTCTGCCTCCCAAGTGCTGGGATTACAGGTGTGCACCACACACCAGCTAAAGAACATAGCTTTGATTAGGTAGTTTAAATGATAATGAAAATAGGTAATATCAAAACATATGAGAAAGTGGAAAGTACTTGAAGTTCCTCTGAGAAGCAAATTTGGAGCCTCAAATATGTTAGCCTTAAATATACAGCCTTAAAAATATAGTAGAAAAGAGGGAGTACTGCTAGTAAATTAAGTCTCCACCTCAAATAGCTGGAAAGAAGAACAAATCAAACACACACAAACACACACACACAGAGAGAGAGAGAGAGAGAGAGAGAGAGAAATAATAAAGATATAATAGTACAAATCTATAAAACAGAAGAAAAAATATTAAAGTGAGAACCAATTTAAAAAGTTGGTTCTTTCTGAAATAAGAATTCAGAACGGTTAAAGGCAGGGAGAAAGTTCTGGGAGCCATGCAGTAAGCCAACTGAGGGGTTGATCAGGGTTGGGAACCCCCAAGAATTCCCCCCCCCAAGGTGGTCATGACAGAAACTTTATCATAGCTAGCCTGAAGCCAGATCTGCTCTGGGAAAGGACCCAAGCCTGTGAGCTGACCGATCCTCCCCACCATTGGGTCATCTGGGTCAAGCCTAAGGACCCCTGTTAGGTCTTATGTGGAACACAGGATGTAAAGACAAGTAGGAAAAGGTCCTTGTCCTCAAGGAGCTCACAGGAGCAAAGAATGAAACCAGGACACAGAGGAGAAGAGCAGTGACAGGGACACACCAGATGAGATGGGAACCCAAAAGACTCTCATGGTTGCATGAGATTTTTGGGATCCCAATGTGTATAAGCCTAGGTCCAAAGCTTATGGGCTCATGTAACCGAAAGGAATGAAGGCAGAGCCATTAGAGAATGTGGGCAGAAAGGACAGGTGGGCAGAGGCCTGGAACATGGGGCAAGCCAGGTGTTGCAGGGATGGAGAAGCCAGAGAGGAAGAGCCTTGAATGCCAGGTCGTGCATGGCAAGTGGATGTCACCTGGCAGGTGATGGGGAACTGTGAAGGGAGAGCACGAGTTATCAACCAGGAATGAGATGGGTTTTATGAAGACCATGTTGATTGTGGAATGGAGGATGGATCAAGGAAAAGCAAGTCTGCAGTAGGGAGTCTCATCAGTAAGTTGGGGGTGGTGCAGACGGGCAGGCACGATGTTGCTCACACGGGTTGGGGCTGGAAGGGGCCTATATTGGGAGACAGGAGTCAGAATTGGCAGGCTTGTGGTTGACTGGAGGTGGATGGTGGTAGGAAAGTGTGAAGGTGACTCCCTGGTATCTGATAAAGGCAAGTGAGTGGGGGTGATGCCACTTATCCAGCTGGGGAATGTGGGGACAGCCGACTGGAAAGACAATCAATTCAGTTTGTGACACACTATTTGAAGGACTTGTGGGATATCCTGGTAGAAACAGGCAGGAGACAGCTGTATATTTGGGTTCAGTGCCCTAGAGAGAGGCCTAATTCAGAGAGAGAGACACATGGGAGCCATCAGAATCTAGAAGGACATTGACAAAGGAAACCATGATGATAGTGGTGAGATCACCTCAGGACAGTCCTTACAGTGTCATTCTTGGGAAGGTGTTCAGAATCACTAGGGGACTATTCCAGGGTACATGCCCCACCTACAATTCCGGTAAGTATCCTCAGCAGTGTGATGGAGGGAATTGATTCTACTGGGGAGGAGATGACTTATGGAAGAAAGAAATTTGTGACCATTGGTAACAAGAAGGCAGAGAACAAAAGGGCAAGCCCAAGATGGAGGTGGAAAAGAAAAGAGGTCTGGGGATGAAGCAGGAGAGTGACATATCCTGGGTGTTAGGACGGTTGGTGCACAAAGAGTGCCTGTGGAAAATCTGCATTCCTGTCCTGTTCTGATGCAGTAGGGGCCCTGAGATCGCCACTGGAAGTAGCTCTACAGGCTACCTCTGGGGTAGAGAGTTGCATGAGGATGCAGGCTCAGCCAGCAGAGGGGATGGGTCCCGTATGTTAAAGACTGAAAAGGTTTATTGGATCTGAGGAAATTTCAGACTTGTTGTGGGAGTGGAAGCCAGACTGCAGTGGGCTGATAAGTGAATGGGAGGTGAGAAAGAGAAGACGGCAAATGTGGATCCCTTTTGGGAGAAGTTTGGATGAGAGGTGGGAACGAGAGTATCATCCCCCTCAAGGGCCACTTTCTATCTCCTGGAGAAAGTTGGCAAAGAGGACTAAGGAAATCTGGGGGCAGAGTCAGACATTTCATGGACCTTCAGAACGTGCAGGGAGGCAAACTGGGAATGGGCCAGGGTCTAGCATACTTCAGGTTGCCAAGTCTCAAACTAAATTTATTGTGCCTGCCTTCTGTCTACACACTCCAAATCCAGTCCACTGTATCCACCAGCGTGCTCTTTCCATAACTCAAATCTGACCTGTTACTGCCTTACCTGAAACCTTCCAGAAGCTCCACTTCTCCTGGGGAACATGGCATTCAAAATCCTGATTCCTTCGGCACCTTCACCCCCATCACCTCCCAGCTTCACTGCATTCACCCTGCAACCAGGCTTCATGGAGCCATAGCTATTCATTGCCCAGGTGACTATGCTGTCCCTACTCTCATTAGCCCGCTGGTCATCTTAGACCCAGCCTGCTCACGGCCACACTCTGAGTTAATTATTCCCTTCTCAGGGAGAACCAGCACCTTGCCCAGCCTCTGCTACAGGACTGGTAGGAAGAATGAGTTGTTCTGTATCTAATTGTTCATGTGGTTCTTCCCCTGCTGAACTGTGCCTTCCACGGGGTGGCCTCATCTGACTTCTCTAGGAATCACTAGCACCTGGTCAGGACTGTGCTCCCTATAGATTCCAGTAAGTGGGATAGTGGGGCTTCACCCCAAGTAAATGTTAAACACAAAGTAAATGTTTAAATTAAGAAGTACCCCACTGACCTTTTGATCCACCCATCAGATAATGGCGCCTGCTGATTTTCCCTCTTTATCTCAACTCTACTAATATTTTTAGGTCATTGTCCTCCCAAGAGAAAACAGAGGCAGGCTCTGGACAACTACGTGTTTAAGTTAGATGGTACAGGTGTCACCTAGTGATAAGGGCAAGGCGACGTTGGAGGATGGAAAGAATACTTGGGTTCCCGCTCCAGGAGCATTACCTTGATTCCTTCCTTTACCTAAATGCTTAACTTCTCTGCACCTAGGTCCATACAGAATTACCAATACCACTACCTGAGAGTAGTGAGGTGAGAATCAGGAGAGATATTAGTGTAAAGACCTATATAAATGCTACTTGTTATTAGACTTTTGAGAACCTAGTAAAGTAGTAGCTCCGTGTCACGACACCAACAAATTGCATTTGTGATTTCAAATGACGAAGACTCCCCAGGCAATACTGCTTTTAGAAGTTGTTTCTCTCAAAATAAAACTTAAGTCTGTCGGCGGTTCCTTGGGCACACTAAAGACGACTATAAGCGAAGCGCCGCCTTCCTAGACTCTAGGTCACGCCCCTTTCCAGGCAAAACCGTGCGTTGTAGGGCCCTTCAGCACTGATTGACACTTCTGTTCACCAATAATAAGTGAAATTCTTGTCAACGTCCGGTGAGGGGGCAGGACTTCCTGGATGGTTGCTAAGACACTCTTGTTTGCTCCTTGACAACCCTGGCGGGGGTGCGCTGGCTACGGCCCCGGCTTCGGCCCCCGCGGGAGCAGGTGAGGCCCCGGGGCGCGACGGGCAGCCAGACGGGGAGGGCTGGTCTGGAGGGAGGGCGGGAGGCAACGCGGGGCAGACGAGGCCTCGCCCACCGCCGAGGCCCCACCTCAGTCTCCTGCCTGGTGTTTCCCAGCCCCAGGACCTCCCCCTAACCCTGCGTGGGGTAACTGCGCGCTCGGTAGTGACAGATTGGCCATCGCGACTCTGCAGGCCGCTCTTCCCTACCCTAGGTCCTGTCCAGTTTCGTGCTCCTGCATCCTCCCTGATCCTACTCCTCCCAGCACGTCGATCCCCACCACCACCGTTCGCGGAGTAATCCCCTTTCCCGCGGCTGGGCTGGTGGTGGCCATCGCCTCGGCCCACAAGCGAGTTGGGACATCCGGCTGGTCATTTCCCTTTTCGGGCCTCAGTCTCCCCATCAGCAAACTAGAAGTTGGCTTGAATGATGTCTAAGGCCTTTTGGACTCTGGCGTTCCAGGTTGTTACTCTTTGACCTAGCTGTAGGCTTCCCCAGGGTGGTGTGCTCTCCGTGGGAGGAATCGTATGTAATGCAAAGAACTTGGCAGACCTAATTTGGATTCTCACTTGTAGACCAGCCTGCATCTATAAACTAGTATTCCACAGCACATCTCCTTTGGGATAATATGAATTGAAGTACAAAGACTCCAATTCTATGTAGATTCAATATGTTAGTTTTCTTTGCTCTTTATTTCCCCACAGTTCTCCCATCTGGGAGGTGTTATCAACCTCCTCAGCATCTCCAGTTGACCCTCAGAATCACTCTCCTGCTTTGATCCTTAGGATGGGGATGAGGAGACAGAAGGGACTGGTGCATTGATGTGATGGGTTCAGTGGCTTCCCTTCTGCCCCGGATCATCCATGAATTCCTCCTCTAATTGATACCTCCATTCGCACATCTCACCAGCAACTTAAACCCTGTAGTTCTAAAAATCAAACCAGCCTGCTTCTCTGCCTACTCATCTGTCTTACCTGGTTCCTTCCCCCCACTCCCCCACCCACTCTGCCCAGTGCATTCAACTTGGACAATTGTCAAGTTGCCAAGTTGCCTCCATGAAGTTCTCTAATCTTCTCCATTCTTGAAGGCACCACCCTGGTTGAAGTCTTTAATGCCTGTCACCTGAGCTATTGCTGTAACTTTCTCCTCCTCCTCCTCCTCCTCCTCTCTTCTTCCTTCCTTCTTTCTTTTTCTTTCTTCTTCTTCTTCCTTTTTTTTTTTTTTGTGGTACTGGGGTTTGAACTCAGGGTCTCCACCTTGAGCCCTCCACCAGCCCATTTTATGGTGGAAAACCTTTTTCAAGATAGGGTCTAACAAACCATTTGCTCTGGCTGGCTTCAAACTGCAATCCTCCTGATCTCTGCCTCCTGAGTAGCTAGGATTACAAGGTGTGAGCCACTGGCACCCCGGCTGTAGCTTCTTTTAACTTCTGTCCATATCAACCCAACCCAACAGAATAGACAGGCCACCAGCAACCAAGAAAGCACCAAAGGCTTCCCATTCCCTGCAAAAAATATATCCATACTTCTTAAGCCTGGAGTTTAGGGCCCTTCTACACTTCCACAACCCAGCCCCAGCCTTTTCCTCCAGCCTATCTCTCTCTTCTTGGCCACATCCTATCCTCCAGCCAAATTGGTCTGATAAGACTTTCCCAGAAGTCTACCTTGGAACCACTGTGTTTGCTCATCTCTGCCTGGAAAGTCTCCACACCCCACCCCGCCCATCTGTCAGGATTCCCACTCAAGGCCTGACTCCAGGGCTGACCCTGCCACCAAGCTTTTCTTGCTCTTCTCTCTTACTCTCTCCCTCTCCAGAATTCTCTTCTTCCCTCTGTTTCTACATCTGTCTTGTGGCACTTAGTGCCATGAACTATCTTTGTCTGTGTGTGTTGATCTTCATATTAGATTAGATTGTAAGCTCCTTGAAGGCAGAGACTCTCTGCTTCTATGCTTGAAAAGCATAATCTTTGAAGCCAGTTATACCTGGAATGGACTCCTGGCTCCTCCCTTTCCCAGCTGGGTGGGAAGTTGTTTTCCTTTTCTCAGGCTGTGTGCTCCTCAGTAATGTAGGGAGAATGGTAGCTGTCTGAGAGTTACGGGGGCAATGAATAAGAGCATATGTATGTAACTCCCCTCCTGGAGCCTGGCTCAAGATCAGCGTTCAGTATTATCGGATAGCTTTAATTGGTCTTCTCCCTTCCCGGGGTGGGGGATGCAATATAATTAAATTATAATTCCACTATTATTTGGACTGCTGCCATGTGCCACACATGGACTTCATGCTCTGGGACATTAGTGGAGACTAAAGTCCCTCTGCCCCAGGGGACTGTCTGAACTCACAGCACAAGGCGAAGTCGTGATCAGTTGTGAGATGTCACTGGCAATTAGCAATGGTGAATGAGTTTTCAAGAAATAAATCAGTGCTAAGTACAATTTACTTTGTGATAATGTCATTCTTAGTCCTTTTCGTTCAAATCTGTCATGCTGAGAGGGAAAGTGGGACTGGGAGACTGCGGAGCTCGCTGTGTCAGCTGCTGCTCTCAGGCATGATGGCTCATGGCTATGATGTTTTGTTACACTTGTCTCTTGACAAAATGTTTGAGATTTCATCCAAATGTGGGTATGTCCATGAGGGTGTACTACATGAGTTAGTGATGTTTATCACTAATGGCATTAGACAAAGACAGAGCTGAGAATTGCTTATCTAGACTAGTCAACATGTCTCTTCTCACCCCCACCTGTCTCACTCCCCTTCCTTCCCTTCTTTCTCCTAACCCATGGTCTATGGCACAAAAATGTTTTCAGTGGACTTCAGTGAAATGAAGAAAAAAATAAGGACCCTGTTTTAAAAAAAAGAAAAGAGCTTGCGTGCATATATGAAAGGCATCTGTGTTTTCTTGAGATGGGCCCCTGTTCTGTAGCCATCCCCTCTTACTGCTAACTGTTCCTTGTTTGCAGTAGATGACGTGTTTCTAGTGCTCTGGAGGCTGGCAGCCAGGGTTTACTTCATTGGTCTGGGAAACCGAGGCCGCTGGGAAGCCAGTCTTCCACCTCACTTCCTGACCTCACTGCTGACCTCCTGGATGAACACACCATAGTCCGTGGGACCCTTTCACCTTGCCACCTTTGTCCCTGTTTGTTTGCTACAAGTAGAAAACAGATGTGTTGGGTAAAGGCAACAATGATCAGGGTGCACAAGTGTGTCCCAGACATGGTTGGAAGCAGGAGGCAGGCCTGGACAGATGGCAGGACTAGTAGGGGCTGATGTTCAAATCATTTGTGTTTCTCCTTTCTTCCAAGGGAGAAAGCCCAGAAGATCAAGTCAGAAGAATAGATATGGGCTCAGATCCTGGCTCTATTTTTGCTGGCTGTGTACCCTCAGGCCAGCCACAAAACCTCCCTGAGCTCCAGGCACCTTGTCTAAGAGCTGGGAGTTTATACTTCCATCACAGGTAGTCATGAGGTTAAAATGAGACAACCAATGTGAAAGCTCAATGTAACCATACCACTGTCACCATGGCCCCAGCCCAGATGGGCTTCATCAAATGTCCTGTGAGTCTCCTCCAGCACCATCCTGGTGGTCTGCACACAAGGGAACCCTGGGAATGTTTGTTTGTTTGGCTGAATGCTTAGGTGTGTAATTAGAACAGCTGTGATATATGGGTATGGAAGATCACCTTCGTGCCGCACCAGTAACAGGAACGATGCTCGCCGTAGGTACAGCCCACTCATCCCTGATTTCCAGATGAGGAATGGGATTGTAGAGAGGTAAGCACATGTCAGAAACAGAAAAGACACCTGCATTCAGAGCTGGAACTGTCACAACATGCTCTAAGTGGGTCTTGCAATCCAGATACATAGTGGGTTGTAGAGGGTGGTATGTCTTGATCTGAGGGCCGAGAATGTTATAAGCATCAAGTTTCTGGGCTTTCCCACCCCTGGGGCTGGCAGCTACTTTGGGCCTGATTTCCCAGAGCCCATGTCTTTTCTTCATTCTTCCCTCATACCTTAACCCACTTAAGGAATTTCCCCAGCCAGGCACCTGTAGCTACTTAGAAGGCTGAGATTGGGAGGGTTGTAGTTCCAGGCTAGCCTGGGTAACTAGTTCACAAGACCTCATCTTCAAAATAACCAGAGCAAAATGGACTGGAGGTGTGGTTCAAGTGGTAGAGCACTTGCTTTGGTAGTACAAAGCCCTGAGTTCAAATCCCAGGGCTCCCCCTCCAACAAAAAAAGAAAGAATTCTCCCCAGATTCTTCAGAAGCCAAATAGCAATGGTGTCTAAGGGCCACGCCACAAAAGAACAAGAACTGTGAGACAAGGCAGAGAGAGAGCCCTGTGTGTGCCTCCTGGGTAAGGCTGTGCAAAGCACACAGGGGAGCCCTAGGGCAGGGGGAGAAAAAGGGCAGCAGGAGAGAGTGAGGCTGCCCTGGCTTTGTGTGCCATCATGGGCCCGATGGCCTGGGATCAAGCTTTTGTACCAGCAGACTCAGATACCCTGGCTGTGGCACACTTAACATTATTCAAAGGCTGTTTCTGGCCTGATACAGCCTTTCGGTCACAGGCTTATTCTCAGGGGAGATTGATAAGGTTATTAAAACCCGGGTTCTGCTATTTTGGGTAACAGCCCTTCAGCAGAGTTTGCTAATTGTGGCCGAATGACTGTAGCTGTACTATAATGACACAGTGTCATAAAAAATTCTCCTATGTTCTATATTAGGAAGTATACCATCTATAGCTACTCCTTTCTATTCTGTAAATCTCATCCCTTTTGGATCACCAGAAGTAGAGGTAGTGGTTAGGAAACGTTGTTTGGGCTCATGAATTGTGGTCCTTAACAAACGTGGTTGAATAATGTTTACTGAGTCTGACCAATCGTAGAGAACAGGGCAGTGACAACAGTGCAGAGAGCACTGCCATTTCCAGCCACCAACTTGCTGAGAATGAAAGGATAGGATTTCTGATTCTGTTTCCTAGAGGAAACACCAGTCTTGTCCCAAAGCAGGAGGTGGGCAACTCACCTCTGTCACAGAACTGTCATCCATTCTCTATGCCTGTGAGTGTCTATGTCTGAGGGGCTTTTCCCCTCTGTTCACCTCTGAATTCCTGAGCTGTTCCAGCAGAGTTCTCCATATTGAGAGCAGATGTCAGCAGCCACCACAGACCCTGCCACCTCAAGGGCAGCATGTGCCCATTGGATCTCCCTCCATCCACCCCTAACTCCTGTTTGCTACCCTTTTTTAGTTTCAGGGATAGATTGAATTGACTTGAAATACCCAGGTGGCAGCTGCTTCTCCATTTTAAGTTGTTCCAACTTGAGAGTCTCAAAGGTAAACAAACCACAAAGCCTGGCATCCTTTTATCATCATTGCGGCTGCCACCTCTGTCACAGCTTGATGAAGGTGGAGGTGAGGCAATAAAGTGGCCATTACTAAAGCTAGGAGCACAGGGTGGAGTTGGAGATGGGCCTTAATTCATATGCTTAATGAGCAGAGACGAATGATTCACTGGATTTCGTGAAATAAACCTGACCAGAAAGTACAATGAGATTGTGCTTGGTGAGCTGCCAGCTCATATGTAGAGACAAACAAAAGCTGCTAATATCTGAGTAGTACAAATGCCCAGAATTATGAGATGAGAGGAGCCATCTGTCCCCTGGGAAGTCAGAAAATACCAGTGTCATGGAGTGGTGGAGTCCGTGCCAGGCTTCCAGCCTTACTCAAGGGAGCCGGCCAAATGGGGTAGCACTGAAGGCTTCTGCGGCTCTGTTGGGAGGTGGGGGAAACTGAGAGCACGGCACAGCCTGTACAGAGTACACAGAAAGCTCAGGTCCTGGTCACTAAGAACAGCAGATTCTGGAAGGGGACAGCAGATAGATACCTGCTAGATCACTTGAGCTGCACTACAGTCAGGTGCACAGGCGGCTGTGAGTCTGTGAGTCAAAGAGGCCCCAAGAATAGGGCTTAGGGTGCCCACATTAGGGCAGCACCTGGATCCAAACCCCAGTTCTGCCACTCCCTAGCTGAGTGACCTCAGGCCAGCAACGTTGACCTGCCTGCCTTGGCCCTAACTCCTGAAGTTGCTGCAATGATGAGCTGTATAAATGAACCTGGAGCACTTGGAATAATGGCTGGCTCACAGCACACCTAATACTTGTTACCTGTTGTTAACCTACCTGGTAGCCACATGGTGCCTACTCCTCAGGAGGCTGAGGAGGAGCTCTTGAGCTCAGGAATTTGAGGCCTGCCTGGGCAATACAGCAAGAACCCTCTAAAAAAAAAAGGTGCATGCACACACAGACCTGCTACTATGCCAGGCATCTTTTTTCAGTACTGGGGCTTGAACTCAGGGCCTTCACCTTGAGCCACTCCACTGGCCCTATTTTTGTGAAGGGTTTTATCGATAGGGTCTCGAACTATTTGCCCGGGCTACATGCCAAGCATCTTGAAGTTCGGTAGCTGTGGAATGTAAGAAATGCTGACATGGGGCTTGAGGCGTGGCTCAGACAGCAGAGAACTTGCCTAGCAAACATGAGTTCAAACCCCAGTACTGCCGGAAAAAAAGAAATGTTGGCATAACATTTTGGGGCTATATTTGTCCAATAGAGATTGTTAAGAAGGTTTACCAGTGCAGTGATTTGTATTCATGTGTGTTTGTACTTCTGAGTTACAAAAAGCCCTCTGAATTACAGGCTACGTTGAATTGTGGGATGAAGGAGAAACATCGGACTTCTCTCAGGACTCCCAGTCATTTAGCATCCAGGCCCATCTCTTTTAGGAAAAAACCCCATCTCTTATTAGAAAACTAGATTTGGTGGGAGGGAACTTACATGTGTAGCGGGTGTTAGAACTTGTGGCATAACCCGTGTTCATGCTCTCATTGATTCCCCTGGGAGCCAGAGGGCGAGAACAGTTATTTACCCAGTGCCCAGTTCTGTGCATGTTGCCTTTCACATCTTTGAGTTCTCTGAGGTGGGTATAACTGGCCCATGTTACTGATGAAGACTCTGAGGCCCCAGGCCACACTGCTGGCCACCAGCTGACCAGGAACCAGTGTCTAGGCCACCCAATTCCTAGGCCAGCCATCCAGGACATGGTGGCCCAAAAGAGAGTAGGCAGGGACCTCCTGGGAGCCTTGTGTGCCAAGGAAGACATCCAGCAGTGCTGTCCCCTTCCCCTGCAGATCAGGGTCCTGTAGCAGGGACCTCTCACATGTCAGTGGACCCTCATTGTCAGTGGGCACCAGAACGTTTACCTTCCTGACCACATTGCTGGGAAGTGAGGGCAGCCCACCATGGGTACAGAGAAGCTGAGTTTGTTAATTGCCAGCTCCAGGCTCCATCCCGGGCCTGGCCCACAGTCAGTATCTGTCTTGACAATGACAGTGTGTTCTTGCAGCATCTCGCTTGACTCACCCTCCGTCTGCAGACTTGCTGGCCATTTGGAGAGGATGCGGAGGAGTTAAGATGGGGAGGTGTCGACTTGTTACCAAGACATTTCTAATTTGTGATGTGTAGTTTTAAAGCCAACTCTTCTCTCCTGGTTTTCCTGTTTTGTACAGCACCCCTTGGGGAAAGACATTTCTGCTCCCACCAAGTTGGCAGGGGCTGCTTCCTGAGTCTCCTGGGCATCTTAACTGCCAGTCCTAGCACCTCCTGAAAACCCACTCTCTCCTTCAGAGGCCACAGTGGAGGGATCATGGGAGAGACAGAAGGGAAGAAAGATGAGGCTGATTACAAACGCCTGCAGACCTTCCCTCTGGTCAGGGTAAGCCTGGGGGAAGGAAGGCAGGTGGCCACCAGGGCCCACACAGCCTGCAAGATGGTTGGGGGGAGGTGAGAAAAAAGACTCTGCTGGCTCAGATCTACACACCTAGGAGTCAACAGTGATTCATTCTTTCATCCATTCATTCATTCTCCAAGTATACATGTAGGCCACCTGCTCTACACTGGGCACATTTCTAGGCACCATGGAGATGGTGGCAGAATACAGATAGCAGCCTGGCTCATGTAAAAGAAATGTTTAAAGCACACAATGGCAGGCAATAAGTGCTATAAAGAAAAATGGAACAGGCAGAAGGGGCGAGGGAGCAGAGGCTGGCTTCCAGAAGAGCTTGCTCGGATCAGAGACTTGGGTTTACTTTGACAATGGGCCTCGTAAAGACCTGCGGAAGAAGATGCCAAGCAAGGCACAGGAGACCAGAATGGGATGAGCCTGGTGTCTTAGAGGAGAGAGCCAAGGCTGGTGTGTTTGGAGTGGACTGCTGAGAGGGAGGCAGGGTGTGAGGCTCAGAATGACAGGCCAGGCTGCATAGGCCTGACTAGTGAGCAGATATGTGAGAATGGACTTTGGGTACCAGAGTGCCAGTGAGGATGCTCTTGCAGAGTCCAGTGAGATGCAGTGCCTGGGATGGAGGTGTGAAATGGGGCCAGAGTTGGGATCCACACATCCCAAAGGCAAGGCAGTAACACTCACCACAGGGGTCTGGGTCTGAAGAAAGAGGGTCAAGAATGGTCCCCAGAGTTTGTTTTATCCTGAATAATGGAAGAAGAACAAGGTGTTAATTAGCAAGAAGGGGGAGGATAGTCAGAATAGGGTTGTGGGGAAATCAAAACTTTTTTCTTGTTATACATTTAAGTGAGGTTGTCAAGTAGGCAGAAGGTCATGGAGATGAAAATGTGGAACCATCGCCATGTGGAAGACAGCTGTGTGAAGAGGAGTGAGACCCCTAGAGGGGACATGGCTAGCTAGAGAAGTGAGAGGGTGGAACCAGGCCAGGCCTCCAGCAGGTAGGAGGAGGAGTGGGCCCAGCAAACTTACTGAGAGAGGGCAGCTGAGGGGCAGGAGGAAACCAGGACCCCAGGAGTAGCAGGCTATCCCTCTGGCCTGGGGATGATCCCACTGTAAACCATTTCCACAGCCGCCTTCCCTGTTCCTGGGCCACTCTTCCACTCGTGTCCCTTGGCTGGAACATGGTCCCTTGCAGAAGGGCCTGGGTATGAGTGCTCATGTGGCTTAGCCCCATCCCGTACCCTCTTTGCCCCAACTGCAGGCCTAGTCAGATGAGTCACCTGCCCAGGGGAGCTATCTTGTGTCCATGCCTTAAGCATGGGACCGAGAGGCTGGCCAGGAAGGCCAGGTCATGGGCTAAGCCTCTCTTTGTTTGTCACCCCGCCCTGTCTCTAGCACTCGGACATGCCAGAGGAGATGCGAGTGGAAACCATGGAGCTATGTGTCACAGCCTGTGAGAAATTCTCCAACAACAATGAGGTATTGCCATCAGGGCAGGTGGCCCCTTGTTCATTTGGTGACCCTGTGTGTGATAGAGCGACCCCAGACCCCTATAGCCAGCTCCAAAGAGGCTTGCTGGGACAAGCTAGAGCCTGCCTTGGAAGTGACCACAGTCCAGAGATCCCAATGAGAGAGGAGGCTGGTACTAAGCAGAGCACTGAGGGCCCAGCCCAGCCCTAGAGGGAGGGAAGCCAGTGGGGTGCTCTCAGGTGGGCTACTGATGAGCGCCTTCCCAGGCTCTATCCCGGCTATGAGCAGAGGCTTCCAGGCATTCATTCATGTCTTCATTCATCCATTCCAAAGGGTCAAATGCCATCTGCAGGCTGGGCACTGCTCTGTGTTGGGGATGCAGCCACTGGTATCGGCCCAGCAGTGACCCTCGTCAGGCTGGTGGTGGTGAGACGGAAGGCAGTGTGACAATAGCCAGGGAGAGCCCAGAGCTTTGGCTCCACTGTCCGCTGTTCAGATCCTGTCTCCAGCCCTTCCTGACTCTACTCTTAGACAAGGCATTTTTCAGCTCTGAGCCAGAGGCCTAGTGTGTAAGCTGGGGATGGTGACAATGTCTACTTACTGGGCCAGTTTCAAGGGTTTATTCGCTGACATGACAGAGACGAAGTGCTCATTGTGCACTGGCATGGTAGCGGTGTTGCTGGTATACAGCAGGTGCCTGAACATGGGTCTCACCCTGCCACGCTGGCTGTGAGGCCCCTCCCTAGACCTTGTCTTCACCCTAGGAGAAGCTTCTGGAGAACCAATGCAGGAGGCAGTGGGCTGTCCCTGTGATGATCAAGCAGTTGGGCCTGTCCATGGAGGCTACTGAACCTGTTAGGGAAACATGGCACCCCACATCTGAGGAGGTTGGTGCTGGCCAGGGCTTGGCCCCAGGCTGTGTTTAGGCCTATGGCTCTCTTTCCCACCTTCACCAATTTCTTCCTGACCAGTAAGGTAATGCCTAGTTCCTGCCCGTATGTGATAGCCCTGGCAGGAGGTAGCCTCAGAAGTTTCCTTGAGAAGGACAGGACAGGACAGCAGAACTTGCCAAGAAGTTGGTGTCAGGCTTCTCCTTCCCAGAGAGGGAGCAGAGTTCTCCTCGCTGTCCCCCTGACATGCTCTCTCTCCCTTCCAGAGTGCTGCCAAGATGATCAAAGAGACGATGGACAAGAAATTTGGCTCCTCCTGGCATGTGGTGATTGGTGAAGGCTTTGGGTTTGAGATCACTCATGAGGTGAAGAACCTCCTCTACCTGTACTTCGGGGGGACCCTGGCTGTGTGTGTCTGGAAATGCTCCTGACACTCTCTCCCTGTGGAGCCTTTTCCTGCCTCTCCTCTGGGACGGGGAGCAGCTCCAGGCAGGTCCTGGCTCTTCTAAGGAAAGTTTGGGGTCTTTTCTTTTGTCCTGTGTGCCAGTTTCCTGAGCCATGCCCTGTGTGTGAATTTGTTGACATCTCTTCTCCATCTCTCTCCAAGTCCCCAGCTGTGGACAGGCGGGCAGCTCCCTGTAGGGGAGGGGTGGGGAGGTGTGACAGGGTGAAGGAGGTGGGGAGATGGGATTTTTCTCATAAGGAAAAGTCCCACCTTTCTCCATGGCTGCTGTCCCCTTACATCCTAGGAGCCCCACTCCCATCCGTCCCTAGCATTGCTGTCCTTGTCATTAGTGGCCATATGGAAGTGGCCCCAAAAGGAGCCTCTCCTCTCAAAGCACATGGGCAGCTTTCTTCCTTGTCCTCTGGGGAAGTGTAACCCCAGGCTGAACAAACCATGGCATCTCATAGGACCAGCAGCTCCACAGCCCCGGCTCTGGCACGAGGACTAAGAAGTCTTCTTGTCCTCTCCTCCCCTCAGCCCCACTGCATGAATCTTTCCCACTGCCTTGGGCAGCCCAACCGAGCAGTGAGAGCCAGGCTTGGAGGTGCAGAGAGCAGGTTCTGAGGTGTCACTGAACCCTGCCCGGTGAGACGCCTGGGCCAGGAGCGCTCTCACCGTGAGTCCCTTCAGCAGGGAACCTGGCCTGCCAGTGGCCTATCATCAGGGACTGCATGCTAATTTGTACTTCTATCTCTGCTGGCTTTTCTATATTCTTTTTGAGTGTGGGGAGAAGGGTTTTGGTAGAAGGGTGAATCATATTTTACACAGCTGTCTTATTTATATAAATGTCTTGGTTTTTACAATTAAAATGACCAAAAACTGACCTCTGTCTATAGCCTCTTAAAGTTAAGGGATTGATGTCCTTGGGCTTGGGCGGGTCCTGGGAGCCCAGAGATGTTTCCTTCTTCCACACCCCTCACCAGCACCTCATGGAGGTGGGGGACAGGGGAACATGAGTCCAGACCCAGACCTTATACAGACATTTCAGATCAAGGTGATGTAGCTCAGGTGAGCAAATGTTTATATTTAACTGTTGCTGAATGCCAGACCCAGGGAGCTGGCGAAACAGGTGGAAGTGCCACAGATCTTACCCTCAGTGGGCTCACAGTCTACTGTGGGGGAGCCTTTGGGCTTAATGGTGTGAACCAGATGTGAACAGTGATACAATAAAAGATAAGATGGCATTCTTGGAGGAGGAAAGAGGGGAGTAAGAGGTCCCTGACAGGGCAAGGCCTGAAAGCCTGCACTTGCAGGAAGAGTGGTGTTTGGCCAGGGACGGGGCTGCTGCCAGTCATAGGACAGTAGGAATAAACAGGTGATGAGTGGCTTGGGATTGGGGGGTGCATATTTTGGGTCCATGAAGCCCTGTCAGCTCAGGCTTGGCCCTGGAATCTGAGTGACAGACTGGAGAATTCAGCACAGGTAGTGCTGGGCAGCCTGCCTTCCCTGTGCCCATGGTGCTTCTGAGGAGGCCCCTCCGGCACAGGCCCAGGTGCTGAGGCTGCACATCAGCTATAGTGAGACCTGTCATCAGCTCTGCTGGATGGCAACAAGGACAAGGGCACTTGTGCTATGTGCTATATTCTGATCTGAGTGCAGAAGGATGGCTGGAATTGAGGACAGCTATCTGGGCAGGTGGCTTGAGGATCTATGCTGCTAGTGGGTTCTCGCCTTCCAGGACTTGGTAAGGGGCAGCTTCTTGATCCCAGGCCTGCCCTGGCTGGGTCCTGTGCCACACCTTATGCCATGTCAGGTGCTACCAGAGAGATGGACGAACCGTGCAGATTGGCTGGGAAGGGGTAAGGTGGGGGTGGTGTGGGAGGTGGTGATGGGGCCCTAGGGCCTGGAATAGCTGCAGCTGATTAGCCGCCTCCCTGGCATCTGTTCTCTCTTTAATGTGCCACACATGGGTGCCAGCAAGTGAGGCTGGCTCCACCGCAGCCAGGGTGTAGCAGGAGTGTAGGCTCCAAGGTACACAAGCTCTTCAGGTGTCCCTGGGCCTCTACGGGCTTGTCTGTGGAGTGGGGATGCAAAGCACCTGCCTTCGGAGGTCGCTAGGAGTCCCGCCGTGTGTGGAGCTAGTGCACAGTGTGTGCTGTGCCATCTCTGTGGCTGGCCCTTCCTCAGCCCCTTGCCCAGCCCCTTGCCCAGCCCCTGCAGATGAAGCGCAGCTGGCCTGCTTCCCCAGACTGGATTGGAAACTCAACAAGGTGAGGCTGGGTCAGGCCTTGCAGTGTCACAGTTCCGCTGGCAGCAAGCCCACCTCCAGTCTTAGTTACTTCTTTCACAATATCTGACCCCTCTGCTCCCAGGTGGTGTGGCCACTGTTGAACTGAGTCAGGTGACCAGGGGTCATGGTAGGTGTCTTTCCCAGGGGTTTCTTCTCTTGGACCCAGTGACTGTACTTCCCTCTGCTCCCCAGCCTCAAAGCCCCTCTCCTCCTCCCATACTTGCTGCATTCTCAGGCCTTCTGTTTTCCTCCTGCCCTGCTGAGAGTTGGTGTCCCCAACTCCAGGCATCACTCTGGGCCATCCCCCTGCCCAATCCCCTACCTCTTCAAGGAAGCCGCAACCACAGGCCTGCAGCCACAGCCTGCCTCGGCTCTCCACTGCCATCTGTCCCACTAAACCTTGGTCCCCTCCTCTGGGCTAGAGTCGGTGTGAAGGAGACAGCCTAGTCGGACACAGCTGGAGGCCAAGACCCAGCCCCAACCCACAGGTCGCTGGGAGACCAGTGGGTGCCTGGCCAGCTCTGAAAATAAAACTCAGGTCTCCTACTGGGGAACACACAGACCACAGAACCACAGACCTCATGAGAGGAGGGGTTCCAAGGAGGAAAAAGACCAGGACTTGGGAATGAGGTTCCATGGCAACCAAGGAGGGTAGGCAGCTGGAGGACTGCCTTTGAAGATCTCTGTGGAGAACTTTCTGGTGAAAATTTAATATGGCCTTGGAAGGTGCCAACAAACTCCTGGATCTGCTTAACCTACTTCCTGCTTCTCAGCAGACTGACCCTACAGGCAGCAGGAGTTGTCTTTTTGGGTGGTAGAGGCCCAGCCCAAGCCAGTATCCCCACCCCAGCAGAAGTGCTGAAGCTGTACCCCAAGGCTCAGTTCCTCAAGAGCAAGAAGCAGCAAACAGGCTGGGGTCCTCCAGATCCGCCCCCAGGTTTGGGAGGGGCGGTTGGTTTAGCCACAAGCCACCACCCTGTTCTATTTTCCTTTTGTTCTCTCATCTCATATTTAAAGTAACCACCTCCCACCAACCAGCTGCCAGCTTCAATCCTTAGAAAGGCGGTGGGGGTGGGGAGAGCGAGCCTGGGAGGCAGAAGGATTTGAATTATTAATGATATTCCCAGACATGCGCTGCACGGACTGCACTCTGGATCTGGTTTAGCTTTTTCGTCCCTTCTGTGGGGATGCTGCCTGTGTCCCTCTTGAGATCTCTCCAGAGACCAGCCACTTGGTTCCTCTGATACCGTGTCCTCTCTGATGAACAGATTCACAGTCAAAATGGACTATGGGGCCCAGGGAGATGAGGCCACGACTGCAAGTGTTAGGGCTGATGTGGGAGCCGCCCCACCTCAGGCTCCCCTCCTAGCATAGGACAAGGGATCTGGAATGCCCGGCTGAGTGGGCAAAAGGTCTTTGCCTCCAGACCCCTGTTGACACTTGGGCCCTGCAAGACCAAAGCAGGAGAGGCAGGTGCCCACACTCACAGCCCCGTTCAGTGACTGAGAGGTCCACACAGCTGGGACCAGACCCTGTCCTTTCTACTTGAGCTCAGAAAGACAGTCCTAACAGAAAGTGTGCAAGGGGACTTTGCTATTGACCAAGCAGTGTCCCTGCTTCGTGTTCTTTTAGCCTCGAAAAGACCCAGTGAAGCGGGCCAGGGAGGTCCCATGAGCTCCTCCTTACCCTCACGGCAGGGAAACCTGAGTGACGCTGGCCGGACCAAGGTTCTCCACTGCACACACAGTAGCTCAGGGACACAGCAAGGTGGCACCAGCCCCTCCATACACCTTCCCTGTTGTGGGAACCCCATCCAGTCACTTGGTATCCCCACTGTGCCTTGTGTCATGGCGTCTCTACCTGCTACACTTTACTCACTCAATGACTGGGACTGTGCATCCCCAGTGCCCAGCACAAGCCTCCAGCCACATCGAGCTTCCATTTTGACTGGCAAGGGCGTGAAAGGCTGGGTGGATGGTGCAGGGATGGATAGGTGACAGGAGGGGTGACAATGGATGGAGGAGTGATGGTGGGTGGAGGGTGATGGTAGGTAAAGAGATGGATGGGTGGATGGATGGATGGATGGAATGTGGGCAGGGGGATGGGAGAGGTGAATGGCTAAGACAGAAGAGACTTCTCCAGGATGCTCAGACCAACAAGACAATAAGATCAGGCTCATTAGCAATTAGTGGGTCAGGGCCTGAACCTTGTCCTTCTGCCAAGTCTCCAGGCCTGTTGCAAAAGTCCTCAGGCTTGTTTGGGACTCACAAAGTAGTCCCCTTTGACCTGGTTCTTAAGAAAACACGGAAACCCAGAAGCAGCTCGAGTGGATCCCTGGGGGGAAGAACGGTGCCGTTCTAGCCAGTGGCAGAGTGTAGAACACATCGGTTTTGCTGATAGACTTGAGTTCTCACATCGGCCCTGACACTCACCGGCCATGTGGTCTTGAGTGACCTGAGCCCCATTCTCCTTGTGTGGAAAGTGGAGGGGTCCTTGCCTTCCAACCTCAGAGGGTAGCTGGAGGACTAAGGGTTGGATGACCAATTGTACAGTGAGTCTGAGTTAGCTACTATTGTGACAAGCCGGTCCTAGAAGTTTGTCAGTAACAAGAGGCCAGCCTGGCCCCTAGGCCCTGGGTTGCTATGAAGGCAGCTTTTGGCCTTGCCTGCAGACTATCTGGCTGCTGTCCTGTTTTCTTTCCAGCCAGGGCTCAGCACGCATTTCAGGCACTCCAGTGCATTGTGTGCTGGGCCTTGTGCAGGGAAAATAGGCCCCATCATGATCCGGGGACACAGACTGTCACGGGGTTCCTTGGGGGAAGGCTAGCAGAGCCGGGAAGCCAGGTGGATATTCAGGAGCACACTCCCAGCAGGACCCCCTGCGAAGCACCTAGGGCCCTCTCTGATGCTAGTGGGGAGGGGCAGAACCTCTGTGCTTTGGGGGCTCTTGAGATCTGGATCATTGTAGCAGAGGGACCTTCTTTATGTATCCCTCTACAGGGCTTGTCACAGAGCTGTGTACACAGCTGGTGCTCAGTAAATGGTTGTGAATGCCCTGTCATCCATCAGAACTTCCTGTCCATTTTTTTGGGCCAGATTCTGCTGGGACTGAGGACCCAGGGGAGTGTGAAATGATTGCCACCCTTGTGTAAGTGCGTAACTGCATAACAGGGACAGTCCTGTGTGCAGACTGACAACACAGGGACGTTGGAGTGTCCAGGAGGGACAGACACCAGAGGAAGGACTTGGAACTGGATCTTAGGAAGCACATGGAATCGTATTTGAGGCAACGGCAGAGCCAGCCATGTGTACAATAGTACCAAAGACAAAAGCAGGACATTTTCCCAAAACAAGGCCATTTGGTGTGGCCAGAGGGAGGGGGCCACGTGGGCAGGAGGGTAACGAGAAAAGGGCCTGAGGGCTGGCAGGGGCCAAGCCTTTGTGGGCCTCATTCATTGAGGTAAGGAGAATTGAGAACACCTCGATGTGGTGT